GTGGCAAGGTGGAAGGGGATTGCACACACAAAGATGTGGCAAGGTGGAAGCCAGAAGATAGAAGGCTGTAGTTAACGTGGTTATAGGCCCCTGAGATGGTGGGGAGAGGAGAAAGAGAGCACACAGTCTGAGCGTCCCCGTGAGCACTGCGATTAACTTATGTTGGTGTTGTGGATAGGGATACATTCTTGAATACGGCCCTTTTATTTTCAGACACTGTTGATTACATTCTGATTTGGTCCCCCTAACTTTGTCAGCAGTCAAATTCAGGCTGACTACTTAGAAACTATCACACCCTCCCATGTATGTGAATAGTTTGATATAAACAAAACTGCCTGGTAATTTGTGATAACATTGTTATTGACTTATCAACGCTTTCTGACGAAAAACAAATAAATATTATGAAAGAAATCTCCAGATTTCATGCAGTAGGATAATATCGTGAGGTTAAAAATGGAGGGGGCAGGAATAGCAAGGATTCCTGGAAATATAACACAATAAATAATGAAATATGGCTGCAGCATATTGGATTGGAGCAAGTCAGTGTCTTTCACTGAACCTGGGAAATGAAAAAAATCTTTCTAAATGTTTTATCAATAAGTCTTCACATGAGGATCTCCTTGGAAGAGCGCACTAATTTACAGAAGGACACATGAAGGTTAAAACAATTTGTCCAAGATTAAACAGTTAATGAGAAAACTAGGAACCTGGCTTTAGGTTTTCCACTTACTCATATTTAAGTAGGGTTTGGGCCAATAAAATCAATAAAAACATACATCTTCAACTGTTAATGAATATTGGGAGTTTCCTTTTCTATAAAGTAAGGTACACATTTATTTGCCAGGGGAAATGTTGACTAAAATAGGAAGCGGGGTCGTGGTGACAGAATTCCATGCAGATTCCCATGGGAATCATGACATTATTTGCTTCAGTCAAAAATAAACCTATGAGGCTATGGATGTCTGCCGTACTGTGATTGTTTCCAGTTGAAGTTTGTATATTGGCCTCAAAGGGAGCCTTCCTTTAACCCCTTGATGCTGGGTGTTGCTCACCTTCCTGTCCACAGCAAGAGAAAATAGGATATTTTAACTATGCAGTCTCTCAGCGATGAGCCATTCAGTTTGCCAGCTGCTCTGGAACAGGAGTGTTTTCCGGCATTGCCAGATGTGCAGGCCCCCACTCTAACTCATAGCGCTTTACATAAAAAGCACTATCAGTTAGATTGCCCGCCCCCTGACCCAGCGGACTGCTGGGTGGGTGGGGGGTAGAAATCGAGCCTGCCTGCAGGCAAGCAGCCAGCCAAGGAGCTGCCCCTGTTCCCAGCAACACCAACTCCTCCAGGACTGACAGCAGGAAGGGACAGGGGAGGGATTAGCCAGCAGAGCTAATTTGCCCAGCCTGAACTGGATGGGGAGGGGAGGCAGGGAGGGGCCATGAGGTGGGGGGGCTAGAATCCACTCACCCCCCCAACAGCTCAAGCCAGGTAAACCATAGCCCACATCTTGCTGCGGCTGGCTAACCCCTCTCCCTTCCCTTCCTGCTGCCAGCCCTCGAGGAGGCACTAGGCTGCATTAGCCCTGCAGCAGCCCAGATACAGCCCATCCCCAATGACACAAAAAATTAACCCTAGGGAACACAAGTTTCCTAAGGTGCTCTAAAGTAAAGCGCCTGCATCTGATACCCCATTTGAGGGGGGTTAATTTTTTGCACGATCTGCCACTTTAAAAGTCACATCACGGCTGTAGAGTGCTTTCAGGGGGCCGATCACATGCAACTTGGGTCTGCGCCCTTAGTGCCCTATTTCTATTCTTTAGAGTTTCACAAATAAGAATTATGGTGCAGGAATGAATGAAACAGTCCAATACTCTGACAACCAGACCTTGTCGTGCATCCACAGGTGCATCTCGAGTAGAGCCAAG